GGTCATTATCGTTATTATTGATCTGGGTCAGATCCAAAATCCTATTTTTACATTTTAGTGACAATATGGTTTGTTAAAAATTCATGACAGCTTCCCCCGAGAGGAGGATCATGGGGAAAATGAAACATTACAACCCCTGTGTTTTCTACTGATAAAATGGAATAACCATCTTTTTAGAGGGTTGTGTGAAGCATGTACGAGTAATCAGTGTCTTACCTCTTACTGTGTAGAAAAACTGTTTTAATTTATTGGTATTTTGTGTATTAAATAAAACAAGCATGTTAATAACAGATGAAAAGTAGCCCTTGTGGTTTTTTTTAACCCAAATAAATGATGCACACTGCTGAAATGTATCCTCAGTACAGAGCTTATTGTTAAATGTTAATATTGTTTTTTGGTACACTTTGTTTAAAAGTGTGTAAAATGAGTTTAAGAAATGTTTATTTTAATAAAAACATACAGAAATCCCTTTGTTAGTTTTTAAACACCATTTTTGGTACCCTGGAGTGCTTCATTTGTCGATTTTGAATGAAAAGGAGGCTAAAAAAAGTGTCAGAACCTGATATTTTGCTTTAGAAATTCACAATGTTCTGTTTAATATTGTATTTGTTTAGTGCCTTTCAAAATGTAATTCATGAAATGGGACAAGGATGACATAAATAGATAAAAAAAATATAAAATGTAAATCATGCTAAATGTCAGTCTAAAAGAAGTTTCCTAAAACAAATCATTTGAACCCACAGAGTGGAACAAAGAGTAAAGCTTTACAAAATATAGACAAATATTCAATGGAATCTGTTCAAAAAGCTGTCAATTATGAAACTGTCATCTGATTAATACAAGAAGAGTGAAGAAAAGATAAATCCCTTGTAGCTACCACAAAAGAAAATCAAAAAATACTTTCATTCAACAGTTCATAAATATAAAGCTGTAAATATCAGGAAATAGATCCTAAAGTTAAAACTAGTGAAAGTCACAAAAAAATTTTATCTCTGACTTAAATGCACCAAATTTAGAAGCTGTCTGAAATCCACCTGTGACTTTCTAAATAAAGCCATGTTCTCTGCTGGAATGTCAAGAAACACTTTGTTCTCCTGATTACACTGAAATCCTCGGGGTGGTCTGGTCTCTTTATCACAACTCTTGTATTTTGTCACATTCGAGCCTGAAATAACTCCTGGTTTTCTTTGATGTCAGTTGTCTTCAGCCTTTCAGCGCACAGAAAGGGAAGGAATTTTTTTTACGAATAATTTTTCTCTGTGTCATCACTGGTTTTCTATCATACGTTAGACATTTTTGACCAAGAGTAAAAGATTGAATCTATTTTTTTTATAATTACTGAGCTTTGTTAAATTTTAACAACGTTGCATAAATATATTTAATAAAAATTGAACTATGCCGTGTAAAACTTAAGTATCACTTTGCATTCATTAAATACAAACATTTCAGCTTAAACTTTTTCTTTTAATGAAGCAGTTAAATATAAGTTTTTCATACTTCATCATTAGTAAATATTTTTACTAAGAGTGAAAACAATTTTTATTGCTTCTAAAATCAGTTAGTCTAATTGCTGTTGGCAAACTGTTTAAAATCTAAGTCAGATTGTCCTCTGTAGTTGTTGACTGACAATTATCTAGCAACTTTAAATACGACTTGATTTTAATAAACATAAAAACAAGATTTTATCACTTAATTGATGTGATTTTGATCTCGGTAGAAAACACTTCTGTGCAGACTGCTTGTGATTTATCTGATGTCTCCAGATTAAACTGTGTTCTCTCCTGGCAGCTCAACTATTTGAGATGTAAATACCACCTGACTATGCAGATCTGTCTTCCAGCTTCAGGGCTCCTCTGTTCTCAGAGCAGAAAGAGGACAGTCAGCAGGAGTCGGATGATTGAGTGCGAGCATCTTCCTGCAGCTTGGGAAAAACTTATCGTTTGTTCCAGTCCACACACCTCAGTGTGGGGAATTGTGCCGCGTCGACAAAATTTAGCACACTGATAAAACTTTACAGTGGGAAAAAAAAAGTGGCTGGATAAATCAAACAGCATCGTTATATATAGGAGAAACAGCAACTGGAAGAATTTCATGAGAAAACTCAACACATCCTGATGTACTGTAAATGATAGCAGCACAGACGCTGTAAAGATCCACAGGAGAGTTGTTTGAGCCCAAAATACATTTTATGACCCTGAAGGATGAATACTGAGTGGCTCTGGTTTAAAGTAATCTGCTGTATCAGGACCATGCATCCTTCAGTCCCCACAGGAAGTCATCAGTAACTCTGCAAACAGAAAGAGAAGCACTTCCACTGCTTGTTAAAAAGCCAAACTCAGTCAACAGGGAGTCAAATATTCTAGTTTGTGTTTTTTTAATCAAACCTGCAGAATGATTTACCTT